ATAATTATCCCCGAGTTTGACATGTGGTTGTTAGATTTTAAATACAAGTGATAAAAACCACTCTACTCATTAATGGAAGGAAGTACTGTTTACATTAACAGTGTTGAGTGCAAAGAATTTCTGAGGAGTCAACAAAGATCAACAATATGTAAATAAATTTCTGTGGGCCCTAAGAAAGAAAATGTATTTCCGGTTCACAATGGCATTACAGCATTGCCTATAATCAGCTATGGAACACCCATTTTAATATTCTTTCTATTATTGTATCTAATAGTCTTTCCAAAGCACCACACTTAAGAGGCCCAGCAAGAGTTGGAAGGCACCACTGCCCTGAGACCAGAAGAACTAGATGGTGCTCAGCTACCATTACCTCCCCAGATGGTAACAGAAGATCCTGGACAGAAAACCACAAAAACCAAAGTTACTGCCTTTAAGTCCATTCCAACTCATAGCGACCCCCTTTGGGTTTCCGAGGCAGTAAATCTTTATGGAAGTAGATTGCCCAGTCTTCCTTCTGCAGAGTGGCTGGTGGGTTTGAACCATCAACCTTCTGGTTAGCAGTCAAATGCCCTAGACACTATACCACCAGAGCTCCTTCCTGGACAGAAAGGGGAAAAAATGCAGGACAAAACTCAAAATCATAAAAAAGACCAGACTTACTGGTCTGATAGAGACTTGTGGAGCTCCTGAGACTGTGGCCTAAGATACCCCTCAAATCTGGAACTGATGCCAGTTCCTGGGGACCAACTTTCAGCCAAACAATAGACAGGCCTATAAAATGAATAACACCAGGAAGAACATACTCCTCGGTACAATCAACCATATGTGACCCAAAGGGCAGAATTTGCCCAAAACCAAAGCTCAGAAGGCAGGAAGGGACAGGAAAGAAGGACCATTGGAAATGGGGAAATGGAGGAAGTGGGAAGAGTGCTGTTACAGTAAGGGGATTGCAACCCAATGTCCTGAAACAAAGTGTGTGTAAATTGTTGAATGGAAAATTAATTTTTCTGTAAACTTTCACCCAAACTACAAGAAACAGTTCAAAAAGAAAAGAGTTGCAAGGTAGAACCCTTATCTTCTAACTCACTAACAACAATTTCCTGTGGGTATTTCTCTTTGCTGTATGCCTCACTCGGCTGTTCGTGCTAGTTCTTTTCTGGTTATGCTTTATTTTCATTAAAAGATGCCTATTTTTGTATCTGGTTTTTACCTGTGTCTTATAAGAATCTTCTAGATGTTACAGAAGCAGCCAGATGTTTTAAAATACAGAGTGCTCATTTCAGCGACCCACATACTAAAATTGGAACAATATGGAGAAAAGTAGCATGGACTCTGCACAAGGGTGACACATAAATTTCATGAAACATTGCATATTTTTGTTTCATTTTGTATATATTTTGATCACAGTAAAACAATAAAGAGTACAACTGGAGGTATTGCGAAGCAGTTTTGTGGAATATCTCTCAGGTTTGATCGCTATTTTTCCATTTCACTGAGCTCAGCTCAAGTGATTGTAGTTCTGCCTCGAAGGATGAATTAAAGGTGAAAGTTTCTGGAAGATGAAAAGATACCATTGGCTCAGGCAAAATATAGTTTTGTTTTAGTATTATTTAAATGTTTTGTCACTATTGCTTCTTACCCACATCTTTCTCACAGAGCTAAGCCATCTCTAAGGTTTTTATTAATTCACCATGGGTTTGGTGTTTGCTTTCCAAAGACATCTCACAGCTAGTCCTCTTGAGTGGAGTCAAGAAATAGGAGAAGGAAAAGAAATAGCAAATGTTCCTTTCCTTATTATGAAATAGATTACACCTTCTTTTAGATAAGGAATGCATAGCTTGGAAAAGACATGCAATGAGGTGGAGGTTAGAGACAAGTTGGCCAGCTGATAGATGACTCGCTGGAATCTAGGTAGGGCTTCGCTTTCAACCTTGTAAACTAAGAAACCGATTCCTAGGGGAATTCAGAATACCTAAGCCGCAAAAGACTGACTATAAAAACAGATCACAAATTTACAAATTTACAATGATAAAAAGAATTATGCTACCATTTCTTGAGTGTTTTCTACATGCCAGGTATCATACTAAGTGCATTTTAGTGTTATTAGAGTGCTTTGGTTTGACCTCTTCTCTGCCACTTATTAGTATGTGGTCTTAAGCAAACTACTTAACTTTGTGAAAGTTTCTTGCCTTACTTAATAAAGTGCTCAGAAGAATGCCTAGCACATAGTTGTTGTTATGTGCCGTCGAGTCGGACCTGACTCATAGTGACCCCTCCTTGGGTTTCTGAGGCAGTATCACTACGGAAGTAGATTGCCCCATCTTCCTTCCAAGGAGTGGCTGATGGATTTGAACCGCCAGCCTTCTGGTTAGCAGTCAAGTGCCTTAGGAACTACACTACCAGAGCTCCTAGCACATAATTAGCATTCTATAATTATTTGCCATTAATAATAATTCTCTCAACAGTCCTAAAAGGTGGATATCATTATTATTCCCTTTTTGCAGGTGAGAAAATGGAGTGTTTCAGATGTTAAGTAACTGCTTAAGGTTAATAGGTAGTAAGTAGACAATAGAATTGAATTATAATATAATATAGAATATATTCTCTCTATATATTCTATTATATATGTTAACATATAATATAAAATAGAATATAATTAGGACAAGGAATGAGAATCAATTGTTGAAGGTACCAGGCTAAGAAAGCACTCATATTTACCTTTCCAGCAATGTCTTTCTAATGAGATTGTATCACTCAAAGTCTGTTGGCCAAGTCTCTCTTAAGAGTAGTCTTAGAAGAATATTGCCAACATTTGCCTCTGAGACATTCCTTTTTTCATAGGTAATATCCCCAACCCCCATGATTGGCATATGATTCACATTGCTCCTTAGTATCATCTATAGCAGCGCTGTCCAGTAGAACTTTCTGCAATGATGGAAATGCTCTACATATACTCTGCCCAATATAGTAGTGTATTCAATATACATTGAGCAGAGCATGGACTACCAGAAGGACCAACAAATCAGTCTTAGAAGAAATGTAACCAGAATGTTCCTTAGAAGTGAGGGTGGTGAGACTTTGGTTCACTTACTTTGGCCACATCATCAAGAAAAACTGCTTGTGAGAAAAGGGCATCCTGTTTGGTAAAGTAGAGGGTCAACAAAAGTGAGGGAAACCCCAAATGAGATGGATTGATAGTGTCCACAACAATGGACTAAAACACACCATTGATCATGAAGATGGCTCAGGACCATGCAATGTTTTATTGTTATACATAAAGTTACCATGAGTCAGAGCTAACTCAGTGGGTACTAACAGCCACCACCACAAGATCTGCATGCAGCTATTGAATACTTGAACTGTGGCTAGTGAGACCGAGGAACTTTTAAAATTGTATCTAATTTTAATAATTCAAGTAGTCATATATGCCTAATAGTAGAGTTTTGACAATACAGATCTATGGGAAAAATAATATATTTAGGTATTGCTCATCACTGAGATAGAAGCAAAGAGATCCAGTCATCTTTGTAAAAGAACATCCCACGTGAATGTCATTCAGGGACAGGGACATCCTGGCTCATTTCTTTTTTATGATAGAGATTTCTGAGGGCCAAAGATAGGCCCGTTTATTCTGAGCAATGAAAAACTCAGTGGAGAATTCTGGAAATAGGAACTTTGGAGATAGTTTGGTTCACATCTCTTGGGTAGCCATAGATCTCTTCTAGCCAAGTCTGCTCAAAGCAGGGATAACTCTGCGATTGTGAGGAGAAGAGAACAAGGTCAGAACTGAAGATAAAGAACAGCTTTGCAAATGGTGGACCCTGATTGAGAAATTCAAGCTGAAGTCCACCAACAGACCACTGCTCTTTTCCTCTTTCTTGCCAATTAGGGTAAGTGCACCTTAGTTTTTCAACCACAGGATTTTGAGTCAGAAAACCTGAGTTAAATTTCCAGCTTTGTCAACTGTGGGACTATAGGCAAACCCTTTAACCTCACTGAGTTCCCTTCCCTCACTCCTAAAATAGAATTAAAGATAGTGGGTGTCATAAATAATGCCATTCACAAAGGGTGCATGTGAAGATCAAATAAGATAATGCTTATGGGACTACTTTGTTCTGGCAATGCTTATTATGTTTATATGTAGCACCTCGGCCTTTTAAAAGTGCTTTCATAATTATTATCTCATTTTATTTTCACAACAGGTTTGTGAAGGAAGTAGGGCAGGAATTATCTGTGATTTACCATCTGTTAATGTAGACAAATGGGGCCCTTGGAAGCTGACAGACCTGCCTAAGGTTATACAGTGTGACTAGCTGTATTATGCCTGGACTCAGCTCTGAACCTACTAACTCTAATTCCAGAAAACAGCCAGTAGACACAGGCATGGTATCCAGAAGTTATGCTGCAGGACAAAAGTGGAGTGACTTCTATTCCAAAAGCAACTCAACCTACAACATGAGTTCCATGCTGAAATATACCTAACAGGAATAGAATTATCATGCTAAGGATTTTATACATATTCTTTCATTTAAGCTCTATAATAACTCTATGAGGTTGTGTGGTTATCAGCCCTGTTTTCCCTATGGGGAAACCGAGACAGACAATGGTTCAGGAATTTGTCCATAATCCACAGAGATAGTAAGTAGTGAGAGAGCCTGGATCCAAACCCAGGTCGCTCAACCTCCAGAGCTCATACTGTTAACCACTATGCTTTGATGTTTCCTGAGGTCACAAAATTATACCATTCTGAAGCCATTTTATAGGAACAGATATTGAGACCTGTGTGTGGCATTTAACCCCAAACTCTACTTTCAGAACCACTGAACAGAAATCTACTCTCCCGAAAATGTTTATCTAGGAGGCTGGTTTCCAGCTTACTAGGCAATTTGGCATTGAGGCCTTTTCTCATAAACATTTACAAATATTCTGCTCTGTAATGAAGTTAATCAGTAAACCGCACAACCTCTGGCCTCTGTCACTCCTCACTTGGTCTCATTTCCAGTTGCTGTGAATAAGCTAAGAATGGTGATGCAGTTTCAGGAGCTAGAAAATCCAATTCAAGGTAGTCCTCGTCACAGCCACACAATGTCAGAATTCATCATGGAAATGATGGGCACGAAGCCTGCTAAAGGTAGGACACAGGTGCCCTGGGCCTGGCTCCCACAACTGGACTGAGGAGCTCTGGGGGCTTCTGTTTGCTGTTACAGCAACAGAGCTCTGTCAAAGATGGCTCCAACAGACTCAAAGATGGAGAGAGACATTGGGTGATTTTCATAGGGTTCTTAGAAAGTGAGAAGGACCCCTGGGGGTGCAGTGCTTAAGCACTCAGCTGCTAATTGAAAGGTCAGTGATTCCAACCCACCAGCAGCTCTGAGGGAGTAAGATGTAAAGACTTACAGCCTTGGAAACCCCGAGGGGCAGTTCTATTCTGTCCTACAGGGTCACTATGAGTTGAAATTGACTGGATGGACATGAGTTTGGTTTTTTCTTTTTCTTTTTTTGGTTTCAGGAAGTATCTCATTGGGATTAAATTGGTGTGAGTTTTTCCTAAAATTTGTCATTGGACATTATGTCAAATTAACATCATGCTTTCAAGTGAAACATTAGGCAGCTCTAGCATTCATGCTTATGGACACTTGAACAAGCATTTAAAAACCAAATTTTCCATTCACTTCAAGTGAACAAGCATTTGTTAATTTAAATAATTTTAAATTATTTAGTGTAGTATTTTAAAAACTGTAAGTCTCAGACCTCAGTGGGTCAGGAAATCTATCTCATGGTTTGTGGCTGGGATTAACAACAAAAATAGAATAGAATAGAATAGAAGTGAGAAGTGCACCTCGAGAAGTATGCATAAGAATTATTTCATGGAAGTTTTGTTTCAGTTACATATGTGTGTGTATGTAGTCATCATTTAATATGTGTTTCATACTATGGGTAGTGGTTTTAAAAAGGGGATTGGGAAAGATCAATTTAATGAGCTAGTTTCATAGCACATTTCTCCCAATAGTCCATGGCAAATCAGTGGAATGCAGAGCTCAGTTTTAGGCCTACACAATTTGTTTTCTCTGATTTAAAACATAGTTATAATTGAAACAGAATAATACTGTCTATTTTAATATTGTACTCAAAACAGAAACTCACCTTTTAAGTTTCCAGATAAAGGGGAATTATTAGTCATTTTCACAATAATTACAAATTTAAACATTCTTGACCAAAGACTTGGCAGCTAGGCATTTTATTTAAATGTGATGCTTAAAAGTGACAGGCATTTGTGTGCCTAACCCAAGCAATGGTATTTTCAATCACCTCATATGCATGTGAGAGCTGGACAATGAATAAGGAAAACCAAAGAAGAGTTGATGCTTTTGAGTTGTGGTGTTGGCAAAGAATGCTGAAAGTACCATGGACTGCTAAAAGAACTAACAAGTTTGTCTTGGGAGAAATGCTGCAGGAATGCTCCTTGGAAGTGAGAATGGCTAGACTTCATCTCCCCTACTCTGGTCATGTTCTCAGAGTGGACCATTCCCTGGAGAAAGATATCATGCTTGGTAAAGTGGAGGGTCAACAAGAAAGGGGAAGGTCCTCAACAAGATGGACTGACACAGTGGCTGCAGTGATGGGCTCAGGTATGGCAAAGATCGTGGGGCTGGCACAGGACTAGGCAGTGTTTCGTTCTGTTGTACATAGGGTCGCTATGAGTGGAGATGACTTGATGGCACCTAACAACAACAACAACACTGCATTTAGAATTGGAATTGTTTAGAAGGCTGGGGAACCAAATTTTCCATTCATTTCAATTGAACAAGCATTTATTAAACATTTGCTTTGTATCAGGCATACTGTCAGGTGCCAGGAATGAATAAAAGAGGGAATATAAGCTATTATTTTCCCAGAAGAGTTCTCAGACTAACCACAACAATAACAGAAATGGATAGTATCTTTATAGTGTGTCAGTCATGATGCCTTTTATATTCATTGTCTTAGCTCATCCTTACTACAACCTCTTACGCAGGTACTCTATCAGTCCAGCTTTGTAGATGGAGCAACAGAGACTTAAAGAAGTTCCATGTCTTTCTGAAATTCTCACAACTAGGAAGTTTCAGGATGAATTGAATCCAGATTTGTCCAACTAAGTTGAGCCCACTTAATAACAGGTATCTTGTACCAATTCAAATTTAGCATGGAAGATAAGTATGTAAACAAATAAAACAGTTCTACATGCTTCTGAAAGTGCTATTTAAAACAACAACAACAAAAAAAAAAACCTCACTGCTGTTGAGTTAATTTGACTCATAGCGACCCCTCCATGGGTTTCTGATGCAGTATCTCTACAGAAGTAGATTGCCCAATCTTCCTTCTGAGGAGTGTCTGGTAGGTTTGAGCCTCCAGTCTTCTGGTTAGCAGTCAAATGCTCTAGGCACTACACCACCAGAGCTCTATACCAAAAAACAAAAACCAAACTCACTGCTGTTGAGTCCATCCCGACTCATCGTGACCCCCTCCTTGGGTTTCTGATGCAGTATCTCTATGGAAGTAGATTGCTTAGTCTTTCTTCCAAGGAGTAGCTGGTGGGTTTGAACCTCCAGCCTTCTGGTTAGCAGTCAAATGCTTTAGGCACTAAGCCAGCAGAACTCCTACCAGCTCTATATTACTGTTGTTATGTGCCTTTGAGTCAGCCCCGATTCATAGCAACCCCTCCTTGGATTTCCGAGGTGATATCACTACGGAAGTAGATTGCCCAACCTTCCAAGGAGTGGCTGGTTGGTTTGAACCACCAGCCTTCTGGTTAGCAGTCAAGTGCCAGCTCTATAACCAAGAAAAACCAAACTCACTGCTGTGGAGTCAGATCCAACTCATAGAGACCCCTCCTTGGGTTTCTGAGGAAGTATTACTATGGAAGTAGATTGCCCAACCTTCCTTCCCAGGAGTGGCTGGTGGGTTTGAACCGCCAGCCTTGTGATTAGTAGTCACATCCCTTAGGCTCTATGCTACCCTAGAGATTAATTCCACCTGTGGGAACTGGATCAGGATTCAGAGGAGGTAAGCAGCTGACAAGGCAGGGAAAGGCATCAACATTACAAAGGCCAGGCCCCAGGACTGGCAACTGCTTTACAAAATGAAGCCCATTGAGCTAGTCTAGAAACTATGGATTAGGAAATAGGGAAGGCACAGAAGGCAATTTTTCCATTCACTTTGATTCAATGAACATTTATTAAACATTTACTATGGTCAGCATTGTGCCAGGAATTTAAAAAAAAAAAAAAAATAGGAGATAACCTAGGCACTTTCTCAGGTGCATGAGAAACTGAGATCATGGAAATGTGTCATTCTTACTGCATGAAACAGATTCTCCCATTTGGGTATGAAGTAGTTCTAATCACAAACTCCTTACAGCTGCACCATCTAATATGGTAGTCACTAGCCATATGTGACTATTTAATTTTAAAATTTTATTTGAAATTAAATAAAATTTAAAATTCAGTTCTTCAGTTACACTAATCACATTTCAAGTGCTCCATATCTCCATGTGCTTGTTGTTTTTAGCTGCCTCAACTCAAGGCAACCCCCTGGTTGACAGAACAAACTGCTGCCCAGGCCTGCATCATCCCATGAGCGGTTGCAGATCAGACTGTTGCAGACTAGATGCTTTACAGGGTTTTCAATGGCTGATATAGGGAAGTAGATGGCCAGGTCTTTCCTCCTAGTCCATCTTAATCTGGAAGCTTTGCTGACTCCAGTTCAGCATTATAGCAACATGTAAGCCTTCACTGACAGATAAGTGGTGGCCATGTTTGAGGCTCATTGGTTGGGAATTGGATTAGGATCTACTGCATGGAAGGCAAGAATTCTACCATTCGACCACCACTGCCCTTCCCACATGGTTGTTGTTGTTGTGTGCTGTCGAGGCGGCCCCGACTCATAGTGACCCCTTCTTGGGTTTCTGAGGCAGTTATCACTACGGAAGTAGGATTGCCCAACCTTCCTTCCGAGGAATGGCTGGTGGGTTTGAACCACCAGCCGTCTGGTTAGCAGGCAAGTGTCTTAGCCACTATGCTACCAGAGCTCCCACGTGGTTAGTAGATACCATATTGTCCAACATAGGTACAGAATACTTCTGTCATCTCAGAAGCTTCTTATAGATAGCACTGCTTTAGAGAATCTACTGAAACTTGGAGAGCTCTATCCAGAAGAACTTTGCTTTCCATGTCAGCAGTTCTGATCCTCCCTTTGAGCCCATCCATAGGTGTCCATCCAGGAACTCTCCCCTAAACCATCATGGAGACTTTCTGCTCATAAAGGAATTCAAAATCTCTCATTTCTTTGTTGACTGATTCCTTGGATGAACTTATAAATCCAAATCTTAATATATATTTTTCCATTTGAATTGTCTTAAAATAGAAATAAATCAACCTTTTCAGGAAGCATACTCTAGCCATTAAAGTTGATCTATCCTTCACTGGCTCTCAGTTAGAGAATAGTCTGTATTTATTTATTTGTCACATCCCTCCTTCCCAGCACACACACAGGGAAAGACTGAGGCCTTTTCTGTCTGTCTTGTTTGTAGTTGTATCCTCAGAGTCTAGTGTTGTTGTTGTTGTTGTTATTTGCCATCAAGTCGGCCCCGACTCATAGCGACCCCTCCTTGGGTTTCCGAGGCAGTATCACTACGGAAGTAGGATTGCCCAACCCTCCTTCCGAGGAGTGGCTGGTGGGAGTACCCAGTAAATAGTAAGTGCTCAATGTACATTTATAAATGAAAGAGCTTTACACCCTTTAAACCCTTGTGTCATTAAAACAGACTGATACATGTTAGTAGTTACTAATTAACTATCATCAAAATCAAGGCATTGCTGGGTTCTTTAGGAAGCATCATGTCTTTTTATGGCACTTGACTTATTGAGCCTTTTTCTCAAAATTGCATTTTATACTCACAGCTACCTCATGAGCTAGCAAAACTGGATGTCCCATTTTATAGAAGAAACTTGAAACATACAAAGGTTAGGCAATCATCGAAGGTCTCACAATAAATTAATTAGAGAAGTTGTTCTAATCTCACAAATTTGGATTATGTCAGCCATGCTGATTCTTTGATTGTAAGTTGCCTGTACATTTATTTTCTCTACTGTG